AAGTAGTCATGGGGTAGCAGTCAACAGTATGTGCAAATCATCTAATCCTCCCCCACCACCCTGTGGTGTTGGTTCTGTTCTACCCATCTCACAGGTGAGAAAACTAAGGCAGTTAAATAACCTGTGCACCAGTCTAGGCAATATAGTGAAACCTTATCCCTACAGAAAAAGTAGCTGGGCATGGTGGCACACACCTGTAGTCCCAGCTACTTGGAAGGCTGTGGTGGAAGGATCTCCTGAGCCCAGCAGACCGAGGCTGTGGTGGCTGTGAGCATTCCACTGCACTCTGGCCTGGGCGACAGAGTAGACTCCAACTCATAAATAAATAAATAGATAAATATCCTGTGCAGAGCCAGGACTCAAACCCACACAGTCAAACTCTAATGCCCACTCATAACTGCTCCTCTGCTCACAGGGGCCATGGATGAAATCCAGTTACACCCGCTTTTTCCTGTAACTGGACACATGTGCTATAATGGAAAGCATTTCTCCCTAACCTGTATTTATCTAAACAAGCTATCCAGCAGAATTTCTGAGTGAGGGGCTTGAAGCAAGGAATCTGCAGGTGTGTGGCCTTTTCTTCCTCAGCAGATACAGAAGGAGCTTAGGCTCACCCTGCTTCAGAACATGGGCCACCCTCTGCCCATACCCCTGCCATAGTGAGGCAGAAAACCTTCCAGGCATCAGCACTGTGTGACTCTTTTCTTTTAGATCTTGGGCTTTAGGGCCCATCTCTTTTAGCCAAAGGGTCTGTAGCTATAAAAAGACATTGCAATTATAAGGATGTGAGTTATAGTGCAATAGAGGCATTGACCCTTCAGTCTCCGGGATGGGCCCAGACTCCTCCCCTCCAACCAGCTGTGACTCCAGACATTGCCCTTCAGCCTCAACATCCTGTCGCCTCCCCAGCCCACCCCACTCTGAAACAAATGTGTGTTTCATACAGCCAGGATGGGGGTTAGGAGTCAAAGTGAGGTGGGTTCCAGCTGTCTCCTCACATGCCTGCTTCCCCTACAGTGGTATTTCCCCAGGATCTGCTGGAGAAGGGCCTTGAAGCGGACAACTTTGCCATGCTGGGACTTGGGGATATTGTCATTCCAGGTGAGCCTGCTGTGGGGGGCACGGTACAGGGCATGGAGAGGGTGTTCCCTAGAGCCAGGGGGATTACCCTGAAACAGGCAGCCTCACCAGCTGGGAAGGCGAAGGGTTAGGCTGGGTCAGGTCAGGGTTGGTGACAGGTTCCACCTCAGCACAAGTTATTGAGCTCAGTAATGTGCCAGGCCCCAGCATTGGACAGCAGTGACAAGACTGTCATCACAGAATTTCTAGTCTAGGGGGAAGATACTACTCAAGAACCACAAAAGCAAGTGTCTGATAACAGACCAAGGTACACTCTGAAAAAGCACATTCTGTAAGTCTTGGAGGGACAGGACCCCTCCCCACACACCCCCCAGACACATGCCCCATCCCAGGGGTCACACGTATTACAGATGTTCTAGAACGGCCACGGCCCCCTTGCTCCTTCTGCCTGTGCTGAGAGGGCTCCAGGGAGAGCACATGTAGACCCTTGCATGTGTCTCAGCAGAGGAGTGTGTATGCATACACCTGCTCTCTGCATGAGCTGGCTTTGGAGCCCTCTGGACCTACGCCCGGTTGCTTGTGGATGTGGCACAGGGGCCCCTCCACAGTCTCAAGCACAGGCCTGCATCCCACACACCCAGAGCCTTGCCTCACCTTGGGGCCCCAGCAGCTCAGGCTACCAGTCAGGAGACGGGCGTGGAGCTGAGCTGCTGCTCACTTGGCAGTGTTGTTCACACCCTTGGCCCTCGATGATGGCCTTTTGTGAACACCAGACTGGATACCAGGACACATACACACGCTCCCTCTTCCCTTCCCCCTCTCCTTCTCCCTCTCCCTCCCCTCCTCTTCTCTGTCTCTCCCCTCCTCTTTCCCTCCCTCCTCCCCCCTTTTCTCCCTCTCCCCTCTCTTCTCTCTCTTTTTTAAAAGACAGGGTCATACTCTTTTGCCCAGAATGGAGTATAGTGGCATGATCAAACTCCTGGGCTCAAATGATCCTCCCACCTCGGCCTTCCTTGTAGCTGGGACTCCAGGCACTGCTGCCACATTCAGCTAACTTTTTTATGTTTGTATAGATGAGGTCTCGCCATGTTGCCTAGGCTGGTCCATACTCCTAGGCTCGGGTAATCCCATCTTGGACTCCAGGGTGCTGGGATTACAGGTGTGAGTGAGCTACTGTGCCCAGATGCAGTCTCTTGTTAGTTCTCTGTCCTGCTCCTTACCTGCTACTCTCTAACCCTGGCTTTCTCCCTGCAGGGATCTTCATTGCCTTGCTGTTGCGCTTTGACATCAGGTAAGCAAGTGAGGGCCTACGGCTGGCTAAGGTTGTCCAGGGACTCTCCAGTGGCTTTTAGTAGCCAGAGAGGGTACCTTAGGGGATCAGATCCTCCACCCCACAAAATCAGAGCAATTCTGATTTTATCTGTATTTGACATTTTGAAGTTCTAAGTGTTCAAGGAGCCTGTGCTCAAAGAAATTGTCAAGTTAAGAATTGCAGCCCGAGAGATGTCAGCCCAGAGGGTCCTGGTGGAACTCAGTGCTTCTCGCTATGTGATCCTGGCGGGGGGCCTGACCTTTCTGAGCCTCGGCTTTCTCATTCTTAAATTAGTGGTAAATGAGGGTTCCCGGCCAGGCACAGTAGCTCATGCCTGTAATTCCAGCACTCTGGGAGGCTGAGACAGGAGAATCACTTGAGCCTAGGTGTTCAAGACCAGCTTGGGCAACATAGTGAGACCTCATCTCTACCAAAAAAGAAAAAAATACAAAAATTAGCCACGTGTGGTGGTGCACACCTATAGTCCCAGCTCCCTGGGAAGCCGAGGCAGAAAGATCGCCTGATCCCAGGAGGCCAAGGCTACAGTGAGTAGGGATCGGGTCACTGTACTCCAGCCTGGGTGACAGAGTAGAACCCTGTCTCAAAAAACAGAGTGCCTGCTTCGGGACTACCATGAAAATCTGGAGAGAGATTTTTTTTGCTGAGCACAGGCTGACCTCAGTAGCTCATGGGCAGATCCAGTTGCAGTCATCATCATTACAATTTTCTAGCCTAGAGTCAGGTCACCCTGTCCCAGTTGCTGTAGCTGTTCCCTGCCCTCTGCTTACTCATGAGTTTTCAGTCTGTTATACAAAGTGAGCACAAGGGAAAGAAGGGGGCTCCGGAGAGGTCAGATCCGAGTTGATGCACCTCGGCAGCTGGGTCTGCTACCAGCAGGTGGCGCCAGCAGTTGCTCCGTGGTTTGTTTGGGTTTTGGGGGGGTTTTTTTGGTTTTGAGTTGGTCTCACTCTTGTTGCCCAGGCTGGAGTGCAGTGGCACGCACACGGCCACCACAGCCTCGACCTGCTGGGCTTAGGCGAATCTTCTGCCTCAGCCTTCCAAGTAGCTGGAACAACAGTCACACACCACCGCACCCGGCTCAGTTTTTGTGATTTATTGTGGAGACAAGGTCTCACCAAGTTGCCCAGGCTGGTCTCGAACCCCTGGGCTCAGGCAGTCCTCTCGCCTCGGTCTCCCAAAGTGCTGGCATTACAGGCTGAGCCACCACACCCAGCCAGCTCTGTGGTTTTTATGCTCAGTCATCAGCAGTGGTTTGCTGGGTGTGCACTTAGTTTTGGGGTAGTCTATGAACTTTTTTTTTTTGAGTTAGAGTCTCACTCTGTCTCCCAGACTGGAGTGCATCAGCATGTTCACAGATACAACAGCCTTGGCCTGCTGGGCCCAGCCTATCACTCTGCTTCAGCCTTCTAAGTAGCTGGAACTGCAGGCACACACCACCACACCCGGCTAATTTTTTGATTTATTGTAGAGATGAGGTCTCACCAAGTTGCCCAGGCTGATCTCGAACCCCTGGGCTCAGGCAATCCTCTCAGCCCAGCTTCTCAAAGTACTGGGATTACAGGCTTGAACTTCCACTCCTGGCCTGTGAACTTTTCTTAATCGCTACATACCCAGTAATTGCAAAAACATTCATAACTGTGATGGTGGTAATGAGAAGCTCATTGCTAGCATCGTTGAATCCAATTTTTATGTGAAACTTAGCGTTTTCCCACTCGTGCACATCTAGGTTATTTGTGTAGTGCCGCTTTGGAGCTCATGAACACATAGGCTTACAGATGCCTAGGGTGGAAACCTGGCAGTTTGTACAAGAGGCATGTGTGTACCAGCCATCTTTGCTTCTGGCTTTTCAGGGTGTACAAGTGAATCCCACATGAGTCCCGAGGCTCTTTGCTGGAGACAGATTCAGCTGCCAGCACCCTCAGAGGCAGGATCCCATTCCTAGCCTGGACTCACAGGATAAGCTCCTCAGAGCCGATTCCAGAATCAGCACGGCATTCCCAAAGGAGAACTCATGCCCCACCCAGTTCTCATCATAGGATGGTTCTCAGTGTACCTGCCACTTGAGGCGCAGAAGCATCCAGGGCAGAAGGGGAGGAGTCCAGAGTACTTGTCCGCTCCACAGCATGCACTGAGTCCATACCACGGACTGTCACTCTGTACGCTGGGGATACACAGTTGCGGAGCCGGCACTCTAAAGGGAAGTCACACAGTGGCAGTGCCAGCTTACATGTGACCCTCTGTTCTGAAGCTGGTCTTGGGTAGACCACCCCCAGGAAGCCATTGGCATTTCATCCATGCAGCCAGCATTTATTTTGACCTATTTCAACAGGTCACTGAACCGTTACTTGGAAGCAGTCGCTTACACCTTTGCAGGTTCTGTGTCTGTTTCTCCAAGCATGATCCAATGGTATCAGATTCACCAAAGTAAACTTTTTTTTTTTTTTTTTTTTTT